CGAATGGAATATGCCTAGTCTCATTAACGTCCTGCTGAAGACCCCACGATTGATCTGACTTCTGTAACATTATGTTTTTATCTTTTGAGAGAGTAGTATGTAAACCAGTTGTATTAGCATCTTGCTGGAGATTCCACGATTGATCTGCCTTCTGCAACATTATGTTTTTGCCTTTTGAAGGAGTGATATGTAAACCAGTTGTATTACCATATTGCTTAAGATTTCACGATTAATCTGCCTTCTGTAACATAATATTCCTATCTTTCAAGGGGGTAGTATACGAACTGGACATCTTACCATATTTTTGTACAGGTAATTTAATTTCTCCCATAACATGTCGTCACGGCATATAAGAAGGCGCGTTATTGCCAGAATTAGTATACTTACGAATTAACTTATTATATGGACAATAATCCCCACCAGAAAGTATTTTTTGCCACTCTTCAGGATTTCGCATTATAGTGTGCCCTGCATAATTAGTTTCACTAGGTGGGGCCACTTCATTAATTTTTCCTTCCCTTTGTATAGAGAAAACGTGAGTATTACCCTTAAGTTGATTATGTATCTCTTTACGTCCAATCCTGATGGTTTGCTCTGTCCATGGCCTTTCAGGAACTTGAGTATTGGCATTAGTACCCATTCCTATAATAAGACTGGTTTTGCGACGTTGCATTTGCTTCGAAATTTTATTAATATCAGATTTAACCTGGTTCCTTCTGGAATCGTTTCCTAGAAATCCTAACGATAATTCAGGGTGTCGTATTGGATCAACAACTTGACCCCGGAAGCCATGATATCGCAGATTCAAGACAGATTGCGATTGCGTTGGATCCCTACGTGGAAGATCACTTTCTAACCAGGGTTCTTTTAACCTCTGATCAACGATCTGCCCTTGTACATAGTCGATATAGTAATCTTCTTGATCATGGAATGCGTCCACTTGGGCAATAGCATCAACGAACAATGGATCTGTTTCTTCAAATTTCTGGACCAAAGCCTGAGATGGCATCCCTCTATAGGTTAAAACTTACCTATTGCGAATGTTGCGAGTAGTTTTTGTGCCATACATTAGAGGTATACAATAAATTATAAAAGATAATATATTTCTTCGAAACTTGACTAGTCAAACTATTTTTTATCGATTATTCGTTTCAACAAAGTAGACACAGTGTGTCATTAATTCATGTATAACTTATTTATATATAGTACTTTATGACTGCCTTTGGTAATTTATCTAGACTTTTATTTATGACTCTTCAAGTCACCTTAAGGCCTACTATTTCGTGATGATTAGGCACTATGTACCTGCGAAGCAATAGTTATTTTTTCGTCAATATATGTTTCATATTTTATATTTGTTATATGTAATATTGATTTGAATCAGTTGTATATATATTTAATTAATATGGTTCGAAAAAAGAATAAAACAAAAACTAGGTGATCCGATACTAGTTCTACTACTCATGGTCCCCATTCCTCTACAGAAGCTATTAATCAAATATTGAATGGGTCACAATCTGAAATTATTTTATCAGTAAATATTACTGACCCAGTAAATAAATTAGGGACTCCAAACTTTACTCATTTGGATAAATCTATTGCAGAGCAAGCCGAAGGCGACCCTAAAGGGTCATGGCCCCCTGAGCCTACAAATATTACATATACAGCAACAGCAACAGAATTGCAAAAACTTTTGCAAGAAGGAGTTATACTTAAAAAAATTCATCAGACACTGGAATGTAATCAAGAAGACAACTCCTTTATTAATAACTTTATTCACACTTCAATGGAGCTCGAAAAGCATAGTAAGGATCCGAGAGAAAAAGTATATCACAAATTAATAAGAGAAGTTTTTAATATAAAGATACTTTATAAAGCGTCCAAACGAGATGGTCATATGACCCAAGCGGAATTTTATAAAAATAGAATAGAAAAATGCATACATGAATTTCTTTCTCATATAGGGGGAGGTAAAAAAGAATGGTTATCTCGTGGTGCAGTTAAAGCATTGCGTCTATCAACAACCTCACAAAAAATATTGGATTTACTTGATATGGCTGAGTATAAAGGACTCAAAATTCCAGGTCGAATTATCATCTAATTACTCTGGTTATATAGATTACCCACTTTGTAACTGCGAAGCAATAATACTTATCTTTTTTACTTGATTTTACATGGCAAGTTGTTTTATGGGACATAAAAATTCCTAGTATAGATAGACCCAAGGTTATTGCTTCGCAATAATATATCAAGCTCGTTATTTTTACATCTACTCTAACTTCAAAACACGGCAGGATTCAGTCAGCTTAAAAATATAAGTTACAGATAAGATATATTTATGGGTATAGCCCAGTGTCTTTAACATATATTATTGTATTAATAAATAACGGAAAAAATAATTATTATACATATTATTGCTTATTTTACTTATCTAATATTATATTTAGTGTTGGTTTTTTACTTAATAGGAACTGAATTAATTCTTTGGAGATACGCCAGCAGTCTCCCACATCAAGAACTAGCAAATTAGAACAATAATGTGCAATATCGTATATTGTTTTATCAGTAATAT